GATCATTAAAAATAAATGTGAAAAAAGACTGCCAAAGATGAAGAAACAGAAAAAAAGCAAATTGGATGTCAAAATAAACCATGGAAACTCCAAGAAGAGAAGCTAAAGCCAGGAAAGACAAAAATCTCAGGAAGGAACTTAAGAAAGACTTTCAGAGAGCTGTTAGAAGAGACAAGGAACAGTATTACAGCAACATCTGTAAAGACATTGAACATGGAAACAGACAAGTCTTCTAAAAGATCTTTGAACTCTGGAGGAGGTTCCAACCTCAAACTGGTATACGAAAGGATGCCATGGACAGATAGTAACCAATTTAAAGAAGATCAAACAAAGATGGAAGGAGTATACTGAAATACTGTAAAGTAGAGACAGATCTTAACATAAGATTCAAGATACCTTAGAATATATTCCTTACATACAAGAACCTCTAGTACTAAAAGATTAAGTTAGATCAGCACTCCAGTCATTACCATTATCAGAAGGCTACAGGAACTGATGGAATATACTATCTTTAATTTCACACACTAGCAAAATAATGTTAAAATAATCCAGTGCAGATTAGAGCCCTATATGGAAAATGAGGTGCCAAATGTTCAATCTGGCTTTAGAAAAGGCAGGGGAAAATGTGGCATTATTGCTGATGCACACTGGAGAGTTGAAAGCCAAAGAATACCAAAAAGAAGACAGTATGTGCTTCACTGATTCTACAAAGGCTTTTTCTGTGTGTGTGTCAATCCCATGAAGCTGTAGGATCCCAGAAAATCTCATTGTCCTCATGTGAAACCTATAGATACATCAGGAAGCCACAGTACAGAGAGAACATGGTGAAATAGTCTGGGTCCAGGTTGGCAAAAGAGTGAGACAAGGCTGTATATTCTCCCCATATTTATTCAATTATATACTGAATACATATTAAAGGAAGCTGGATTGAAAGAAGATGAATATGGTTTTAAAATTGGAGGAAGAAGCATCAATAATCTGTAATAGGCTGGTGACACTACTCCGACAGCCAAAAATGCAAAGGATCTTCAAGCTCTAGTAATAACAATCAAGTAGCACAGTGAAAAAAATGGGACTAAGAATAAATATAAAGAAGACCAAAGTAATGACAACAGGTATCACTGCCAGTCTCAGAACTGACAATGAATATATTGAAGTGGTAAATGGCTTCTGCCTTTTAGGATCAACCATCAACAGTATAGCAAAAAAAAAAAAAAAAGAATAAGAAAAAACATCAACAGTAAAGGAATCAGCAGTCAAGAAATATGCTGCAGACTAACACATGGTAGAATAGCCATGAAGGGCTTTGAAAAGATATTCAGTAGCTGTAATGTGTCGTTACCTACAAAGATCAGGATAGTGCAGCCAATGGTATTTCCTGTGACACTTTATGGAAGTGAAAGTTGGACTTTGAAGAAGCAGTATAGAAAGAGTATTGATGCTTTTGAACTTTGGTGTTGGAAAAGACTCCTGAGAATACCATGGATAGTCAAGAAAACAAACAGATCATCAAACAAATCAACCCAGAGTTCTCACCTGAGGCACAAATGACCAGACTTAAATTATCATATTTATTTATTTACATTTATTGGCCACCCAACTCCAGTGGACTGTGGACTTCAGACACATTATGCGAAGACCTAGCTCTCTGGTAAAGGCTCTGATGCTGGGAAAGGCAGAAGGAAAGAAGAGGAAAACCAACAGCAAGGTGAATGAACTCACAGTGGTGATGGGCGCACATTGGAAGACCCGAAGTCATGGAGAAAATCTGTTTATGTGGTCAGTAAGAGTTGATACCAACATGGTAGCACAGAATCAATTAGTAGGCTATATAGTTGAGAAAACTGCAGTGTAGGGGAGGAAATTAAATTAGGATAAAATTTGTTGTTGTTTAGTCGTTAAGTCGTGTCCGACTCTTCGTGACCCCATGAACCATATTGCGCCAGGCCTTCA